TGCGCTACTCTCGCTGGACCTTTCGCGGAATCGGCTGGGCGATAACCTGCAAGACGGGAGCTTCGAAAACCTGCTGACCTTGAGAATCTTAAACCTGCAAGCGAATAACATTACAAAGCCGCCCTGGCAGGCGCTGGGCGGTCTGAGCAGCCTGCAGTATCTTTATCTGCAGGTAAGACAAAAGGAATTTTTGTAGGGGGAATATGCGTTTTCCCCCCTGCTGAGGATCGGTAATCTTCCGGATTTTTACCGGCGGAAATGTTTCAGGATAATTACTTGACGAAACTGGAAAAAGCCGCCTTCGGCCGTCTACCGATAGTGTTTGAGCTGAACTTGGCGAACAATAAAATAAACAACGTAACGAGCCGGGCGTTCGAGGGCCTGTTACAGCTGCTGACGTTGAACTTGACGAACAACAACATCAGCCACATACCGAACGGCGCGTTCCAGGGTCTGGTATCCCTGCGGACGCTCGATCTATCGCACAATAAATTGGAGAAGCTGGACAACAAGACGCACGGACTGCTCGACGATTGTCTGTCTCTGGAGAGGCTCAACCTCAGCCACAACAAAATATCGTTTATTACCCGGAAGACCCTGCCGAACGATCCATGGATTCCTTATAGGCTGAAGGAGGTCGACTTGTCCTACAATACAATGCCGGTCGTTACCTTCGACCTCATCGCCGGTGCTAAGAAGATTCAATACTTGAATCTCTCTCATAACAACATTAATGAGATTAGGAGATGTGAGTAGTAAACTGGGAATGTCGTTTTTAATAGCTCCGACAATTAATCGGATAGTAACGTAACGGACTCATCGGCCTCACACTTCCTGCTGGGTACATCGTCGTTTATTAGAACGTTGCCCTGTTTCAGATGTAATCGGGAATTTAACGGCTTTGAAGACGTTGGATTTATCGCACAATGACTTAAGTGACATCTCCGATCGAGACGTTTTTCTTCCGCCGTTAAATTTAACCAACCTGCATCTGAGTAATAATCATCTAAGTCATGTGCCTCTCGACAAGATTCTACCGCTGCCGAATCTAAAAGTTCTCGATCTGGAAGAAAACGAGATCGGCGTCTTCGACGACAGGTTCATGAAGATTGTCCAGAACGGCACGGTGCTCAGATACACCGGTAATAATAGATAAAATAATTAAATATAATAAAAGATAATGAAGATCATAATTAAGCTCCTAAAAGAAAATTATATTTATAATCTGGTTTTTCTTTATTGATATATATATTTATATCTTATTAGGTAATCCCATGCACTGTGATTGTCATGCACGGCCACTGAAGAGATGGCTGAAAGCTCAAACGCAACTTCCGACAGAATGGTCGACCGTGCTGTGTAAGAGTCCGAATTATCTCGAAAATAAATTCATCTCGGAGGTAACCGAGGATCTCATGAACTGCGCCGAGAGGGACACTCAAGAGGAGCCCGAACTCGATATCACACCTGATGTGAAATATCGAAGCATTGACTAGTACGTGATATTTTAACTGTATACACTGCATTTTTTGTTAAATTTCCGTTATAAATAATTTTGTCTGAAATTTTCTTGAAAAAATTTTGGAGACGATAAATCACGACTTTCTTTAGCAATACCGAGGATAAGAGTTGGAAAGCGACGTGGTACGTGACGTCGCGCGAAGACATCGGCGACTTTTACGTGGTGGTGCGGGAATCCGGCAGCAGCAAATCCATGCTCGAAAAGGACGTCGTTTACAGCGAGCGTTCCTTCAGGATCCACGATTTGAGGGAGTCGAGCACCAAATACGAGCTCTGCGTGCTCGCGCGCGACTCCGAGGGGAACGTCAAGCATTATAGAAATTCGCAGTGTCAGATTTTGAATCAGCACGACTTCGGCTCGTCCGCCAGCCTCAGGGCGAGCCTGTACTACGTGACAGTCGCTGCTTCCGTCTGCACCCTTATGAGATTTCGTTAATCTGCCGAAACTAGTATTCACAGTACTTAGGAAGATATCTTACGTTCCGTGGAGATATATAACGAGATCAACACACGAGGAAGTTATCTTCACGTATCGTTAGCTGGTTAAATATTTCCAATCATTCCAATACCTTAGGCTTTCATCGCGTTGAAACGCGAAAACGATGTGATTGTACAATAAATTAATATATTCCTCTGAGAAAGGTGATACACTGTGTGCGTTGTACATAGATCGTATTGTATTTTGCTCGGAAATAGGGACGTTGAACGTCGTGTATTTATTTTTGTAAAATATATTACAACCTTGTACAAGTCCACATACATTGCTGTTATTTGAACAACGAACGAATTAACCGAGATTCGGCACGGATAGGAGACACGTCTAATGACCGTGATCAGATCCTTGCGATAATATGCAATTAAGCGAATGAGGGGGACGATTAGTCGACGATTAGCGGGCGAATCATCTTAATAAGGACCGGCTAATCCCACGACGTTAATTTGCCGTCGCGTCGTGTAGCCGTCCTGTTCCGCGACTAATAAAGCGCCCGCGAGTTGCTGAAAAAATTCTCAAGGAAGTCGCGGCGGTCTCTCGGAGCTTTGCGTAGTAAGATTATTTCATTATCTCGTGAGGAGACCGTAATTAGTCTCCACGATAAAGCGTAGCGCGTCTTGTTGCACTTAAAAAAAAAAAGAAAAGAAAGAAAGAAGGGGGTCTCTAATGAGGGCGAGAAACAGTGGAAGTCGTTGTTTCCGCGAAAGGGCACGCCGTCGCGAATTTATTAGCGCCGTTATTGAGACGTGCCGATTAACGCTAGCTCGTGACGACGACAACGAGGACGACGAGGCGTTGTGGTTTTTCCTTTATTATTCGCACTTCGTTAACGCAATCGCGCGATGGCAATTATCGGTTAGCCCGCGTGATCACGATATCTCCCGAGAGAAAGAGACAATGCTCCTGCGCGCACGCGAGTTCGGTGGATTAACGGGAATTTAAATTACACGACGCACAGCGTATTTGATTAATATAGCTTCGGTTGGCATACCGGAAAAAACAATGCACACACGCCTCTCGCCGTTCTGCTCGACGGCCTGCTCGGTCGCCTGCCCCCTCGATCGGGATTAACGTCGGTTTAACGCTTAATTAACGGAGTATTCTTCGGCAAAAAGCGCCGTTGCTTCAACAAAATTGCAGACGCGATTTTATGATAGGTATGAATATGTTGATTTTGAAATCTTGATTTTATTAATACATATCCTATTATTATTTACGTATGACATAAATTGTCTTTTTCCTTACATTGTTTTTGTTTCTCATATGGCAAATTATCGCAAAGTACGAATCAGTGGAAGGGAAAACGTGAATAGAAAAAAATGAGATGTTAAAATATAATGCAGAAAATTTTTGCGTCTTCAATTTCTTGGATCTGCGAGATATCCGCAAGAAATGAGACTTTATTTCGATATGATATCTGGTTACGAAATATCTAGTCAGACACTTTCACCAGAGGCCCAATAATGGCTAAGAAGTATCGTGCACGAGCGGGTACGAGCTCTCACGAAGAATCACGAAGATGGTACCTGTGGGCCTCGCGCGGGACAGACATCCGCTGTCTGGGCCTTGTCCGGGGCCCAGAAGACCTCGAGGTTCTTAGGCACGAGTAAATTTACATTTGTCTCTTCCCTCGCCGACAAATTGCCACGACAACGTCGGACATTATTGGCTCTCGTCGTAAAAATTCGTAAAAAGCCAACTCTCAGAGAGAAGACAAACATATTTAAATCTCATTTACCATCAATTACCATTGATCGAAAAAGTTCGCACGCCTCCTCCGTGACCTCGTGTCAGTTTGCTATCATTTATTTCCTAACTTGCCAATGTGGATATTAATTCATCGTATTCGATAAATATCATCGTTAAGGCTGTTAATAGCGTTTTTTTTTTATCTGCGGTACTGGTCGCCACACAGCCCAAGCGTATGAATAAAGTAGGCAGAATACATTTACATACGCCGCTTTGGGCAGTGACTCACGATGCATCCATGTAAGGCTCAGAGCGAGAGGTGCCGTTGGCCCCACACGCCTACGTTAAAACGTTGCCCGCCCGTGTGCTTCGAAGACAAAGGGGAGGGAAAAAAAGGAGTAAAAAAAAAGAAATAAAAAAAAGAAAGATAACCCGTTCTGTAAAAGGCTTCGTCTGCGCGATATCGACTCACGATTCAGATATCGAGACCGCCGCGCTCGTCCGCAAGGCCCAAATCCTGGCGCAGGATCGCACGTATCGGCGCGATCGATTGCAGGGTGGTTGGAACACGCCTCTATCTGAAATACCACGATGAATCTTCTTCAGCCTATAAATCAATTAGCGCGTGAGAGAGACTTGTTATACCTTCCCGCAGTTATTCCGGTCCGCAAGCTCATTCCGGTTACCAGATAAGCGCGCGACGTACACACGCAAACGCGTGCGCATTATACGTGTGCGATCGTTATACCATTGCATTGCGATCGGTTTGCGGCGGCTGCCACTTTCTCATCCGTGTGTCTTTTGTTTTCTCGGTGACAATGGCGTACGGGGGGGCCCGTCACGTTCGCCACGAGTGATGCTGGGCCGCAAATCCGGTTACCGCAGAAAGATCGATGTAACTCCGAATAAATGGCGATTTATAAAGAAATTGAAAAAAATAGCGTAGCCTCTATTTTTCATTTTTTTCCCACGTAATAGAATTAAAGAGAACAGCCATAAAAATGAGAAAAATTTCAATACAGGTTGACGTTATCATTACAATCTTCACGCATTATATTCACTGGTATTTATTCAAGATCTCAACCTTGCTTACATCCGGTGGGTTCACCAGCGTGGAGTCAAGTAAAAGAATCGATCTCTCACAATTCGCATCGGTCAGGTTTATCATTAAATTCAAATTGTGTAAAATCATCTCTCATTGAAACGTTTGATACACTTCTACGCCACTGGTCGATGTTGCAGTCTGGGTCTGCTGGCGGTTCAAACTCTCCCGCCACTCTCCTGTCCCGTCAGTGTCTCTCGCGTGTTCGCACGGGGAACATCGCTCGCGCGCGTCTTTTGCCAAGGCCCCAACTCCGGCCCCGAGTCCTCGGACTTTCCATTACCGACAAGGATATTCGTTGGCGTAAAATTGCACTTTCGCGGTGAGAGGTGAATTGCGCGCGGTTCCTCGCGCCCGGGCCGAGCCGCGTTCGGCTAAATGAGAGTCCGTCGCGGATAATACGAAAATACTCGGTCCTCTTCTTTCCCATCCTTTCCTCTTCCGCATCCGTCCCTTCTCCCTTCTCCCCTTTGTTTATCCTGTTCCCGACGCAGATCGCGAGTACATGATCCGCGGGCGTTTCGTAATTACACGGAGAACGGACATGGCCGACCGTTTCTGGAGACTGGCCCTGTGCTGGTTATGCATCGTCGGACTCGCAAACGCCAATGGTGAGCGATACATTTAATTTGAACCAATCCTATAGATAGGCGGCGGTCCCCGTGACCATCGCGATTTTATTTAAAATAATGAGCGCGCGCAGGTGAAAGTAACAAGGAAATGTACGCGTCGAAGAAATTCTAAATGTATGTACCGAGCATGGACGACGTATACCGCGGTGTCCACGCTCGATTATAGCGTTCCACGGTAATCAGTGACGAGGAGGGAAACATGACAGTCCGCGAACGAAAGTGACGTTCCTTTGTTCCCGAGCCGATTACGCCGACGATCGACGCGGTCGACGCGGCATAACAAATAAGCAGACGCGTCGCAGAATGCATCGTAAAGTTTCCGAAGCACCTGACGCACACGCGCGCGTCTAACAATAAGTAGGATGTCCTAGATCGCGATGCGTACCCAGGTATCACGAGAGAGGATCATAGCCTACCCAAAGCGCCACTCAAGGTTGCGACGTTCCCTCATGCGTCGCGACGACTCGCGCTCGTTATGACTGACTTTAGACTCGTTACTGTTGACGTTAGGTAGACGTTTTCTTTCCTACTTCGCTTCACGGTCCGGCTATTTATGAAAATGGCAGTGTCCGACAACGAAACACGCACGCACGACGTGTTGGAGAGACGACTCGTTTTGCGAGGACTCGCGGAGCGAGAGTCCTCCTTTCCTTCGAGAAACACGAGTCTCACGTGTGCGTCGAGCTATACGAAAATCGTTAGGCGCACCCATCGCGATGAGGTTCACCCATACGTTTTCGGATCACGTTTGCCGATCGCAAATTCTCCTCGCGTATGTCACGCAATATTACGGAGGCGTACAGAATCTATTCTTCTCCCGACGTGTTTTTTTTTTCTCTCGGAAGTGAAATTGCGAGCTGTGCAAACAATACGCGGCACTCGCATCATCCTCGAACGCAACGTGCAATTAAAAAATAACTGCAATCAGGGAACGAAACTCGTAATCGCGCGCGACACTCGCAATTAGGGCAAGGCGGGGGATAAAAGGCTAATTATCTGTTAAGGGCGCCGCGCGCGGCTTGGACAAACAAGAAGGGGCAGAGAGCGACGGTACATCGGAGTTAATTCTCCACTTATCGGGAATTATTATCTCAAATTGAAGTTAATCATATCCCTTTATCGTCCATCGTTGCATCGGTGGAAGTGGACCGATTTGCGAGTTCAGTCGCGCGCATGGGAATCGAGGTTGCTCCAATTGTTCCTTCCCGAGCCTCCCTTCGTGTTGACGTGCAATTAATTAACCCTAATAGCAGCTAGATACGTCGAATAAATTGTATGGTTTCGCAAATGTGAAATTAGTGCGATTGCGCGCGGGATTGTGTAAGAGGGAAACACGTGTGTGTGCGCGGAAAAATAATTACCCCGCGCGCTGGCTCTCTCGCGCGCGGAAATTCGTGCACACGCGACGTGTGCTTCGTCGTGTGTGAGTAATCAGACGTTGATGAATCACGCCATGACTCCATCGTGATCTCTCCTGTACGTTACCGCGGCTATATTTGTATTGGAAAATTGCACGAATAATTACATAAACTAGAACGATCGCGAAAAAAGAGCGTCTGATCTAAAAATAACGCGTAAGAAACTTCGCAACGATTACATCACGCTATACGCTTCTTTTTTGTACCTAATACTTGAAAATTAATCCCCTCTTATCGAATAAAATATAAAGATATTAGTTAATTAATTCTACGTAGATCGTCAATGAAGATCTTCTGCCATGACATGTGTGTGTTTAGGAGAAAATTTATTGTTTCTTATTATTATACTTACTGGATAGCTATTATTATACTTATGCTGTAGTTTCGAATTTTCTTCACCAGTAGGTAGATAGCAATCGACTTCCTTCCCAGTATCATTACTCCATCGGAGGGAGGGTTACGTCGAATTCTCATCGCCAGTCGGCAAAATTGATTATCCAGGCACACGTAATGGGCATAATTGAGCCGACTTACGGGGGAAGGCAGACGCGGGAGAGGAGAAATAGGATTCTGCGATAATCGTGGAAAGAAAGGGAAGGTGAGGCGGGAATGCAATTTTCTGTGTTTTGTGATTGCGCATGTGATTCCCACCTGCCCTTCGTTCTCCGCTAGAATCCACGCGGAACGATCTTAACTGGCTATCGTCCTGGAATTAAAGGGAAACACAATGTGAGCTAACTCCCGCACTAACGTGTCCGTAACGGGAAAGACACACGGAGCCTACGATCGAAGATTAAATGCGTTGGCGAACCTTCCTTTCTGAGCATATATCTGCATAGAAAAAGCTTAACTGACGGCGAAGACAATTCTTTACGACCGGAGATGATTTATGAAAATGAAATAACACCTATTATTGTATTTCTATTTTAATGATATTGCCGTTTCTAAAAGAAGACTCGTCTGTCTGTATGCTTTACTAAAAGACTCGCAGAAGAAATATTTGTACATATTTATCGTGAATTTCGATCTGAGGAAAAACTTTGCGCAGAAGCGTAATTAGATTTTCGTAAACAGTTTAGCGCAAGAATGGACAGTTAAATTACACTATTTTTTTTTAAATAAAATTCTTTACGCGAAAAAAGGATATCGTTTTTCAGAATAGGGTGCTGAAACATGTCAGTCCGTTCTTGCAGTGAACGCGTGCGAGTGGGAGAATCATGAGGAAAGAGAAGGTGAAATTCGATCTAAGTAGCTCACCGCGCTGTTGCGCCTCGCGCTCTATTCTCTTATTTTACCGCCATTACGGCTATTAACATCATACTTAATTGCTAGATCGCAAATCTGAATTGCAGGTATTCCTTTCCGCGGACGGAAATCTTCTTATTGTTTTTCGCGTGTGTAGCCGCGACGCGTAATTGTTGTAAATAATATGTATCTTTTTTACTTATGTTTATTTCGCTCTTGTATTACAATGGATAACTTAAAATATAACTGACTTTTCTTGCTCAATTTATTCGTCTATCTAGAGGAAAATATGATTGTTTATCTTGATGCCCCCATCTCTCAGGGAGAATTCACACCTTGACAGAAAGGCAGAAAGCAGAAAAGCAGAAGCCAATCAGAACTCGCGTTGGTAGCAAGAAAAGCAGAAAGCAAAAACTGTCGATTATCAGCATGAGTTCTGATTGGTTTCTGCTTTTTTGTTTTCTGCTTTTCTGTCAAGGTGTGAAATCTCTCTCATGGTATAATTACAGCGTTAAACTGTCTTCAGTAACTATATATTCATTCCCACTGCTCGTTCTGGCAAAATAGGCTTGATAGCTGCCTTAAACAGTGTTCCATGTAGTTTTCTGATTGCGTAAAGCAACTTTTTTCCGTCGACTTCTAATGAACATTCTGTTACTAATAACTCAAACTTGCTGTCAGGATTCCGGTCTTGAGTAATCAAAATTGAAAATAAATTTCTTGAAACCATACATCCTTTAGTATAATCTCCTGATGATTAATGGATGTAAAACGAATAGTAGCTTTTCCAAACGCTGTTAGTGTTTGCGTTCCAGCAGTCTTAATGCTACAAGGTTCTTTAAATTTTTGAAAAATAATCTGAACAATTTGTTATGTGGCTTGTTGCTCCATTATCAATCCAGTCTGATGAATCTTCTTCTACGGTGCAGGCTTCTGCGTAAATTGACATGAATGCCATACTTGCAACTGCGTTATACTCTGCTTGTTATCCTTCGCGTTATCATTCCTGTCGTCCTTATTCTTTGTATTATCCTTCGACGGTCTTCGGATATCCAATGTCTGCAGTCCTTTACCTAATGTCCAATTTTCTTGCGGTAATTGCAGATATCATACCTTCTTTAGATGCGCTTTTCTTAGCGTAACCTTATAGAAAGGAAACTTTAGTTAATATAATAATATTTTACTCCAACAGTCGGTGGATCGATGATAGATTTAAAAAAATTGACAATTGACGAAGAGAATGAAGTCATACAAAAAATTGAGGCGCGCGTTCTGATAAAATGAAATGTCAGGCCGCACTCGCGCGTGTTCAAGGATAATGAGATTTCTCGCGGTTTCAAAACTATTCGCTTCCTAGCGTTTTTTTTTTGTATGGCCGTTTCTTCGCGGAATTTTTCCCATGTGCCGCTCATGAAGGTCGATTTATTCATTATCCGGCTTGGAAACCGCACGGAGTTTTACGAGAAAGCGAAAACGCTCGCCGAGCGGAAAAGGGATAGGGCAAAACACAGTTCCACCGACTCCGTTCGTACTCTCCATAATCGCGCTCAAACACGTGGCCAGGAATGAGGAATAATGCGACTGGCTGGGAAGATCAGCCAGTTGCGTACCCAGGAAGTTGTAAGCCCACCGTTTTGAAATATCGAGACCCGTTCGTAAAGCCTTTGAACGTTAAACGAAAAGTTCAACTCGAAGAAACAGGAAGGTGGCACTTTAACATACGTATTACCGTTATAAATTTTACTTCACGAACGATACTATAGAGTTTATGACTTAAAGAAAAACGAAGTTTCTTTAGAAAAAGAAACAAGCTCGGTTTCAATTAACTTGATAAGCTGCTCTTTTGTCTGTTTAAATTATTTATCGTTCGCATTACGAAAAGAGCAATAGCGCGTTATCTTTGAGATAATTAATATAATTTGAGCATAGCTATTTATTTTATTAAAAAAGCTTTGTAGAAAAAATCAGGTAATCTTCAATTAAATAACACTCATATGTCTATATGTCATATATTATAGCATATAATGTATACTATATATAAGCCAGTTTTTCTTCTGGAAAATATTAAGAAATTATTATAGGAAAATATTAAAATCAGAAACACGCGTTATTCAATACAATTTTCTCACACTGCAAAATATGCCGCTAATAATTACTTTTCTCTTCGGAAACGTTAGTTTGAGGAGAGGGTAGAATGACACCGTAAATGTTACAGCACTGTGTGAGGGATGAGGATGTGGAGTATGGGGAATGCACAGGGCCCTGGAATGGGAAACAGAAGTGGGAGTGAGAGTAGGAGTGAGGAATCGGTTGGGA